GAGGGTCACGCCGCACAGCCCGCTTCCTGGGCCGGCCACCTGCGCAGACACGGGGGCCTCACTCAGGAGCGCCTGGGCGGGGAACTCGGTGCCTGCGCCTCAAAACTCCTCATACTTTTTTGTTAATTCTCACTGAGGGTTTTTAGAGAGAGTGGAGGAGACAGGGCAAGACAGAAACATCGATGTGAGAGAAACACATCGATGGGTTGCCTCCTGCACGTGCCCTGACCAGGGCCAGGCCAGGGAGGAGCCTCAACCAAGGTACGTGCCCTTGACCGGAATCGAACCTGAGACCCGTTGGTCTGCAGGCCGATGCTCTATTCACTGAGCCACACCAGCGAGGGCAACACTCCTACTTTTGAACAAGGACCCGCATTTTGGTTTTGTTTGCACTGGGCCTCAAAATTCAGCAGCCCTCCCCAAGGGAAGGGACCATCACCCCACCACTGCCCCGGAGCCGCTTCCATGGGGGTCCCGTGAAGCGGGGGTGGGAGGCGCTGCATTAAACCTCAGGGTCCCCGGGCCGCCTCTTGAGGAGCGAGTGGGGCTCCGTCTGGCGCCTCTGCACCCGCAGCGTCTAAGGCTGCGACGCCCCGCTGTGAGAGCTCGGAGGGGTGCCAACTTGGCTTCCCGCTGCCTCCAGCCCATAGACGCGCCCGAACTTGTTCTCAGCGTTGGCACTTCCCGGGCAGGGAGACGTGAATCAGCCAGGAAGCTGCTTCGGCTGCTGGTCCGGGCCCAGCAGCATAGGCAGAGGTGCCCGCGGGGGGAGGGGCTGCGGGAAGGGCTGCGTGTCTGGTGTCTGCAGGGGGTGGAGCTTTCCACTCGATCCTGAACAAGGTTCCATGACGTGGATGGCCCAGGTTTTATTTATCCATCCAGCCGTGGGTGCTCATTCCGGTGGTTTCCACGTTGTGGCTGCTGTGACCACGTGCACACAAGTCTGCGTGTGGACGGACGTGTTCACCTCTCCTGGGCAGAGGGACACCCCGCAGTGGCGTCACTGGGTCGCGCAGGAACTCTGTTTAATGTTTTGAGCAACCCCCGGCTGTTTTCAAGGCGACCACTCCCCTTTCCATCCGCTGGCCACGTGGGCTCCACGCCCGCCCGGCCCTGTCCTGTCTGATTCCAGCCGTCGCAGTGGGGGAGGCGGCAGCCTGCAGATCTGAGTTGCGTTTCCCCGAAGCCTGATGCTGTGGGCATCTCTGCACGTGCTTGTTGCCGTCTGTCTGCCTTCCTGGGAGACGTGTCTGGTCAGACCCTCTGCTCATCTTTGAATTGTGTCGTTTACCTTTTTTGAGTTATGAGGCTTCTTTATAGATTCTGGGTACAAATCCCTGATCAGACAAAAGGCTTGCAAGCACCCCCGACTCTGCGGGTTGTCGTTTCATTTCTTCTTTTTTTCTTTTTAATATATTTTATTGATTTATTACAGAGAGGAAGGGAGAGGGACAGAGGGTTAGAAACATCGATGAGAGAGAAACATTGATCAGCTGCCTCCTGCACACTCCCCACTGGGGATGCGCCCGCAACCAAGGTACATGCCCTTGACCGGAATAGAACCCGGGACTCTTCAGTCCGCAGGCCAACGCTCTATCCACTGAGCCAAACCGGTTAGGGCTGTCGTTTCATTTCTTGGTGGTGTTGTTGGTGGCAGAGAAGTTCTTGATTCGGATGAGGCACGTCCGTCCCTTCTGCTTTGGCTGTTGTGTTTAGGAAAACATTTCCTAACCCAAGTTCACATAGACTTACTCCTGGGTTTCTCCTGGGAGTGTTACAGTCTTAGCTCTTACACTTGGTCTGGGATCCATTCTGATTACATTTTGTGGATGGTGTGAGGTAGGGGTCCAACTTCATTCTGGTGTGCGGACAGCCAGTGGTCCCAGCACCACTGGGTGAAGAGTATTCTTGCCCCCACTGCATTGCTGGGGGCCACCCTTGTTGAAAATCATAAATGTGGGGGTTTATTTCTGGGCCCTCAATTCTACTGTTGATCTATGTGTCGATCCATAGGTTACACCACCCTGTCTCAATTACAGTAGCTTCGTGGTAAGTTTCTGATAAGTTTTCAAGTCAAGAAGTATGAGTCCTCCAGCTTTGTTCATATTTGCTCGGCTGCCTCCTGCACGCCCCCTACTAGGGACCGAGCCCGCAACCCGAGCATGTGCTCTTGACCAGAACTGAACCCGGGACCTTCCAGTCTGCAGTCCAATGCTCTATCCACTGAGCCACACCAGCTAGGGCTCAAGATTGCCTTGAATATTCTGGGTCCCTCGCATGTTCACATGAAGTTTGGAATCAGCTTGTCAGTTTCTGCCACGGGTCAGCTGAGACGTTGGCAGGGATGGTGTTGAAACAGTAGGTCCACTTGGGGAGTGTGTTCCCCTTGGCAACAGTAAGTCTTCCGTAAACATGGATGTCTTCCCGCTTGCTCAGGTCTTCTTTGATTTATTTCAAAAATAGTTTGTCATTTTTTAATTCCAATTTTGCACTTTTGTTACATTTACTCGTAAGCATTTTAAAACCCTCTCATACATGGCGGGTTTATTGTCACTCCGCTCAACGTCTTCCAAGTCCCCTTGCGATTTTTCCTGATCTGCTGGCTGTTGTTCCGTTTCACTGCTCTGAGAGTTTTCCAATGTCCTGCTAGATTCCCAGAGTAATCCCACTGTGGGCGCAGAACATGCTTGGTATGACTTTAATCCTTTTGAAAGCACTAGGTTTGCTTTTATGGCTGATGGTCTACCATGGGCGTGGCCCTGTGTCTGATGTCACGGTGTTTCTGAGCTGGAGGGGGGACGGAGGGGAGGCTCAGAGTGGGTGGCAGCAGAGAGCCCCAGTGCCCGTGATCCTGGTGGGGGGCACGTCTCAGAGCCCCTGGCACCCACCCTGGCTCTTGCAGATCAGGCAGGAGTGCCTGGCCTGCAGAGGCGCGGCGGCCGTGTTCGACATGTCCTACTTCGGCAAGTTTTACCTGGTGGGCGTGGACGCGAGGAAGGCTGCTGACTGGCTGTTCTCTGCCGACGTCAGCCGACCCCCAGGTACGAGGCCAGGGCGGGTCATGTTCCTGTCAGGCTTCAGCTCCAGGCAGAACTCCTGGCACAGCTCTGGGCACTGGCACGAGGTGGCACCTCTGGGTTCCTCCAGCACATGCTCTGCCCCTTGGCCTGGCCTGGGCCCCTGTCCAGATCCCTGTGCACTTACTACCAATCCCAGGCCCCAGGGCTGTGGGCCTCCCTGCATCCCTCCCTCCCCCTTCCTTCCCCACCCCCATCCCTTCCTCACCCCCATCCCTTGCTGCCCCGGTTCTTTGTTCTAGAAAGGATTTGAGGCCCCCAGTAAATGTCTCCTGGCACTGGGAGGCCCCCACGCACCCCCAGGAGTGCTTGCCTCAGATAGGGTTCCAGATTAAATAAACACTCGTGCTCAGTTAAATGTGAATTTCAGATAAAGAATGGGTAATTTTCTAATGAGTGTCATGTAACATCTGGGATAGTCATCTCCTGTTTTGTCACCCACTCACCATCTTACCCATCCAGCCACCCACCCAAGCCTCACGCATCCTCTACATCAGTCCCCAGGGTGGCTGTGCCCCTGCACGGCCTCCATGACTGCCTTTCAGTTTGGAGGCGAGAGGCCCCAAGCAGGTGTCACCAGGGCCACGCTGCCCTGACGCTCGGGAGGACCCTCCTGCCTCTGTCCCCGCTTCTGGCTGAGGCTTCCCTCCTCCGAGGCCACAGG